GCGATTGGAAGAAGAGAGGTCAGAGAGAGAGAGACCTGGGGTTTTCTCTTTTTTTTTGTAAGAGCGGTCAGCAGCAACTAAGATAGGGACGGGAGGAGAGGAAAGGCTGTAGGAATCCATTATGCTATTAGAACCCTCTAACAATTTTGCACAAAAATCTTTTTATTTTTCCATATATATATCTATCTAAAATATATCAAATATTACATTGGGGGCCCTTGTTTTTTGGGGGCCCTAGGCGAAGGCCTATCCCGCCTATGCCCAGGGCAGGCCCTGGGGTTGTGCAAACGGTCGGTCGGTTCGGTTTTTATCAGATTTTGAGCTAACAAACCAAACTACCCATTATTCAAAACTGAACCAAACTGTTGCAAGTCGATTTGGTTCGGTTTGTTCGGTTCTAATCAAGATGCATTCATATGTTGTAGACAAATTTATTCATGTCTGTTATACAATCTTTTCTTTTAATTTATTCACAACTTATATAGGTACTAACATGCAAGGATTTTGAAAAAAAAGTATTAATCTAATCAAAAAAAGTGATGAAGAAGAGGAAACATCACAGAGGCAGCAACAATCAGCTGCAGCTTAAAACAAAACAAATACATCTATAAGCTACATGAAGGGAATAAGCTACTTTAACATATACAAAGACCCAAGAGTTCAAGACCAGCAACAATAAAATTAAGAAGGCATAATTATCCGTAAAGATACATAGAAAAGAGAAACATAGATAGCATGCCAGTTGAGATACAGGCTAAAACAAAACAAGATCATCACGAACCAAGCTTTCCAAGAACAATGTTTGCAGGAGCTTTGCAAGCTCTATAGTCTATACTTAGAAGAGGTTCATATAACTCAAATTCAAAAATAACAAGTTTGCAACCATAAACAAAACAATAATACACCTAATATGCATACATTATTTCAACAACTCAACTAAATTAGGGTTTTTAACTTTTTGGCACACTAATATGCATAAAATCAAATTTAGGTTTTTTATTTTTTCAGTATAATTTACTAACATATAGCAATAAGCTAAGAACTAAATCAATCTTAATCATAAAATCTAATTAAACCAACTATTTCTCACTAATCTACAATTTAGTAGCATGCATCAAGAACTAAAAAGTTTAGATCTTTCCCTCTGAAGCTGAAAGGATAGATTCAAATTTAAGGTTTTCAGTTTATACCTCGCGGGTGCGGGTGTCTCCAAAGCAGGAGATGGATCCTGAGGAGATGGTTCGGTCTCGGCCATGAAGACGATGATGAGTGGCTGCTTGGCGGCGAGTGAAGGAAATTCGAGTCGACGCTGTGGACTCTTAATGAACATTGTCCAGAGTCTTATGAGGTTAGAGAGTTATGACCGCGAATTAAACATTGATTGTGGCTTGGTCTTATACGTTGGTGGCTAAGGGCTTTTGAGCGTCAGAAGATCGACCGAGAATGTATATAGCAGTAACATCACATAGTATTATGATAAGTTAGCACTAGAGGTCTTTTTGCCTAAACCGGACGTTGTCTTATGGCCCTTATCGAGGAAGTCAACACAGCTGATCATGGGAAGTTATTTGTGCTAGAAGCAAGGCTCACTAGAAATACTAGGGATAGATTTGACGTCTCTATAGTGTCTTGGATAGCGTGCCAAGGGATTGCTGAGTTGCCCATGCTTCGTAAACTTAATAAGAGTTTTAAAGGTGTGCCTAAGGTTTGAGTTTGGTCCAGATAGATGTCACCGAATATAGATTAACCTAAGAACTCATGGATAACTTTATTGGCATAGCCTAAAGGGATTTTGCCGTGGTTCCTAGGTAAATTTAATCATGTAAAATGAGGGTAAGACCCTTAAGGTCTTTAGGGTCGGGTCAGAAATCGACCTCATCACGATTAAAAGATTGGTGTGGCCTGTAAGTCATTTTGCCGTAGCTAGAACGGCTTATTGGCTGCGCTAATGCTCCTTGGGACTCTAATCGCAGAAAGTTAACCGACAATGTTAGGTAGGTGGCGGCTAAGAAAATAAATATTTTGGTTTGCAGTAAGTAAAGATAAGAGCACTCGTGGTGTCTATCGAGGTACAGTCTGAAGTGAACATGAACGAGTTAGTACCATAAAATAATTGATTATAAATTCTCTATAAATGAAATTTACAATCAATTTAAGGTTTCAGTTTAACCTCGCGGGTGCGGGTGTCTCGCAAAGCAGGCGATGGATCCTGAGAGATGGTTCCGGTCTCCGCCATGAAGAGTGATGAGGTGGCTGCTCGCGCGAGTGAAGGAAATTCGAGTCGGTGCCAGCGAGGCGAGTCAGAGGCGACGACTGGGCAGTCGGAGTCGACTCGAGAAGCTGCGCATGTGTGGGGGTAAAAAGTGTGACAAACTGGGATAATAAGACAATTTGATTTGTCAATTTATGTGGGATAATTGACGATGTGACACATTATTAAAATATAATATTTATTTATCAATTAAGTCTAAATTAATTTACACAATTAGTTTAGTATATTATTTTATATATTATAATAATATAATGCATTATTTTACATTATACTAAAATATAATGTGTTATATTATAATTAGTAATTAATTATAACCAATTTTAATGTAATTAATTAACATATTACATTATATTATAATAATATATTATATTATATAATAATTGATATACAAACATTATATTTACTAATATTTATAACATTTCATTTTATTCAATATATTATTTTTTAAAATAGTATATTCTTATTAAAATATAATATTATATTTTATGATAAATTACTATAATTTAAATGTGATAAGTAACATGGCTCCTTATTAAAATATAATATTTACAATAACCATAATATACTATTAATATGTTCAATACTATTAATTAATATATTATATTAATTTTATATATGATATAATACTTTAATATACAGTAGTTTATTACTATTTTTATTATAGCAATAAATATTATAACTACCACAATATTGACGATATAATAAAGTGTAATAGAAAATAGTAAATTTTTATATAAATTAAAATATTCTAGATAATAGAATATATTATTATATTAAATATATAAATATTAAATTATAACACAATATTTTATATCATAAAAACACTACAATAAAAATTTTATTCTAACCGTTATAGCCATCTTAATGATGAAAAATAATCTCCAATTAATTGCAAACAAGTGTCACACATTATGCATAATCAAGCCAACATTTCAAGATGACCAGAGGCCCAATTCAATCGACTCGATAAGCCGACATATTGTGATGATGACTCGAAAGGCATCACGTGTCGACGACCCGAAAGGTGTTGCGTATCAATCCCTGGCTTAGTCGACTGCTTAATCACTCCACTCGACCGACTCATCGGCCAACACCTTGCGAGGGTGACTCGAAAGACAGTACTTCTCGACCACCGGACGAGTAGAGAGGCGAAAAAATACTTTGAGCCCCTTCCCGTGCACTGGCGACCAATCACCAACGCACTAAATGCTATTAAATGCGTTATGGACGCCATCAATCCTCTGCCCCCCAATAGTCTTTATGGCACATCAGATCACGTTGGCAACGCACACCCCTAATCACTTCGCATTAAATACCGAAGTGACCTCTCCTTCACTCATCGGACGACACCTGTAAAGTAGAGGCTGACGTGATCGTCATCCCATACTCGGCTGAAGTTACCATTATACTCTTATACCATCGCTATAAGTAGAGGTACTATTTTTAACAAAAGGGTAAGTTCTTTATTACTACCCACTGTGCTTAAGAACTATGGCATTTCATTTTACTTCCCCACTCACACAACTCACTGACTTTGACCGTCGGAGGAATAACCGGGGAACTCAACCCCGCCCTCTTACGATTTGCTACTTGTGCAAGGAAAAACAGCTTATTTCAGAACCAGACATTCAGAGGGTTAAAAGACATCCGTCAACTTAATCAATTCATTCATTTGACTGTTTGATATCATACATCAACACTAACTAATAAAATAAATATTAAATAATATAAAGTAGTATTATAATAGTATAAATACTAATATTATAATACATGAAATATTATTAACTAATATGTAATAATGATATATAATAATGTTATATTAGATTATACTCTATAATATTTTATTATCTTACGTTATAGCAGAAATTATAATATAATATAATTAAGATATATTACATATTATAATACAATTAAAGTATATTAGATATTTAATATTAATGCTTCAAAATTATCTTACTTTCCACATGATTGTTCCAAAGTTAAGAATAGGGTAATTTTCAGATGTTGGGATAAAAAGTTTGTATAGAATTGGGAGAATTTTGCGAAAAATGGGGTAATTGCCCCAATCTCATTGTCTGAATAAATAACATCTTAAAGTAAAATTTCAATCTCATTATTTAAATGAATAACGCCATAAAGTAAAGTCCCAAAAAAATATCTTACTTACCTCAAAATTACACCAACCAATAACCCCGCTGAGAGTTAAAAGTAAGTGAGGACAAGATTTAGGTGTAGTTATTAACTGGAGTTTTGAGGGCATTTCTAATATTTGTTGGGTCCTTGCGAAGAGGACTTTGCTTTAGGAGGGGTTTATAGCGAAGTTCAGACTAATTCAGGTCCCGTTAAACTTTGATCTGAAATAAACCATTATTTTGTCGACTGAAAAATAAATACATGCGTAGAGAAGGTAATAACATTATCATAATTAATAAAATAAGGAGAAGATACAGTTTTAGGAGAACTTGACTGGAAATAACTAAACAGGACATGATATTGTTAAAATTAGTAGAAACTATAACATTAAATAGAACTGAATGAAAGAATATTGTTATAATCAGATACGTGGAAGAATGCTTATTTCAGCCCATAATACCCAGAGAGAAAAAAAAATCAGATAACTGAAGGCACGTCGAGTTTATTGCCCCATGCACATAACAAGAGTAATTCAACCACGAAGCCACGAGGTCCATGGGTAAATGTTAAACTTTTGGCATCACATATTTAAAACTGACATACAAGCACAAGAAAATACCAGCTTTATATAAGAACAACTTTTTACATAGCTAGAATGGGGATCTTCTAACAAACACATTATATGATTTACTAAGACAAAACAGTCAGAAAAAAATTAATCTCAAATACATATAACAAAGCAGCATGGCTAGACGAATATAAATAGAATGAGCTCCTAAAATCTTGAAGATTCTCAAAAAGAGATGGACGCTGAAGGTTCAGGAAAATCACAATCATGCGGTTATTTTCTCGCATTCCAATATTTTGCAAGTCCCAACTTTGATGATCTTAACTTCCACACGCCATGCACTCTTCTCTGTTTTCTAATGAACAAGCAACTTGTGCCATTTTAGATTCCAAATTATCCTCCTCCACTGCCTTTTCATTCTGCATATCCTCCAAAAAAATATTTTTGATTAATTGAAGATAGCCATGCATTTGAAGACAAGAATGATTGCATCATAGCCTGCAGAGAGAAAGAGATCAATGCCTACCTTGATCAAGGAAGTATCGACAGTGAACTTGATTGCATCAGCTGCAGCTCGTGAACGCAAATAATACATTCCTGTTTTAAGACCCTTCATCAATGAAGTTTCATTAGATTAGTATACTTGAGATGGAAAGATAAAAGATCATTGACTAAAGAAAATAGAAAGATGAAAAGTAAAGGACTATGCCAAACCTTAGACCAAGCATAGAAGTGCATTGAAGTTAGCTTCCCAAAGTTAAGTTGATCCATGTGAATATTCAAGCTCTGGCTTTGATCAATATAGCAACCTCGATCAACAGCCATGTCAACAACAGTCCTTTGCTTGATCTCCCACACAGTTCTAACACCATAAAGGTTAATGTATTGAGAAAAATCTACATCTTCAATGAAGAAAACAAACTTTGGTATAGCTCTTACTTGTAAATTGCTTTGAGATGATCAGGAATCTCTGAAACATTGGTAACCGAACCATTTTCATAAACTATCTGGTTTTTAAGAGTTGGAGACCAGAGCCCCATTTCTGTCAAGTCATGCAGGAGATGCTTGTTCACGACTACAAACTCTCCACTGAAAAATGAAAATATTATGATTTGTTAGTAGTTTGAAGTGCAACTAAACTTGCCAGTGGAATCACTAGGTGGTAATTAAAGCAAACCTCAGTACTCTTCGACTATAAATGTTAGATGTGTAGGGCTCGAAACACTCATTGTTACCAAGAATTTGACTTGTTGAAGCAGTAGGCATTGGAGCAACCAGAAGAGAGTTCCTAACTCCATTCTTAGATATCATTCTTCTCAGTGCAGGCCAATCCCATCGGCTAGATGGAGTAACATTCCACATGTCAGGTTGAAGAATTCCCTGCAGGTACACCATGGTGAGTTAAATACAAGAAAATATTTCCACAATAAATGTGTATTGTTGTTGTTGTTATTATTATTATTATTATTAATTTTTAATCAATCATTCATGGGAAGAGCCAACCAAGCATAAAGAATTGATATATATTGGTCACAATTCGATAAATGCATAGGTTTACTGCTTTCTATATGCAGATTTTCTTTCTAGGCTCACATGGCATCGAATTTTTTTTTAACTTACTATACAGGATGATCATTTAGCATGGTCTATGCATAACATATTGGGCAAATTTTAAGTGGAATTTATCAGAAAAATCAAGTAGAGTATCAACAAAAGATCTAGTGCAATCGAAATCTCAAAAGAAGCAAATACCCTAATATTGTAGAATAATAACCAGAAGCTAACACTAACCTTACTGACGGGGCTTCCTTCATATGTCTCATATGTGCCTTCTTTAGCAGCAATTTCTGAAGAAGATTTCAGGGCATGATAATATATTGTCTCAAATATATCCTTGTTCAGCTTTTGTGCCTGCATAAGCAATCAATGATATTTAATACTGACTCAAACAGAAAACTGAAGGACCCTAAAGAAATAACTTAAAGACCTGCAACTACCTCTTGAGAATCAAAAGGCATGCCGAGCAAGATGAAGGTATCTGCCAAACCCTGGACACCTATGCCAATCGGCCTATGCCTCATGTTAGATCTTCTAGCAGTTTCCACAGGGTAGTAATTAACATCAATTATTTTGTTGAGGTTTGCTGTGACTATTGCTGTAATCTGTTAAGGGCATATAAATTCAATCAAACAATGTATGCACTACTAGGAAAGCATCACTAGACACTAGCTAATACTGTCAGAAGAGCAAACCTCAGCCAGTTTATCGAAATCAAAGTATCTGTTCTTCGATCCTATGCTTCCAACCAACTTTGATGGATGTGACTCAATAGGAACATCCTGAAAAATGAATGAATAGATTATCAACCATTAGGTGAGAGTTTACGGGAGACATTTCATCAAAACCTATTTCATACCTTATCTCTAACAAATCGTGGTAAAGCAATTGAAGCCAAGTTGCACACAACAGTTTTAGTGGGAATCATTCTTAGCACCTAATACTGTCAGAAGAGCAAACCTCAGCCAGTTTATAGAAATCAAAGTATCTGTTCTTTGATCCTATGCTTCCAACCAACTTTGATGGATGTGACTCAATAGGAACATCCTGAAAAATGAATGAATAGATTATCAACCATTAGGTGAGAGTTTACGGGAGACATTTCATCAAAACCTATTTCATACCTTATCTCTAACAAATCGTGGTAAAGCAATTGAAGCCAAGTTGCACACAACAGTTTTAGTGGGAATCATTCTTAGCACCTAATACTGTCAGAAGAGCAAACCTCAGCCAGTTTATAGAAATCAAAGTATCTGTTCTTTGATCCTATGCTTCCAACCAACTTTGATGGATGTGACTCAATAGGAACATCCTGAAAAATGAATGAATAGATTATCAACCATTAGGTGAGAGTTTACGTGAGACTTATTTCATCAAAACCTACAAGGAATCAGTTCATACCTTCTCCCTAACAAATCGTGGTAAAGCAATTGAAGCCAAGTTGCACACAGCAGTTTCAGTGGGGCTAGTATACTCTAATATTTCAGTGCACAAGTTCGAAGACTTTATGGTCCCAAGATTTTGTTGATTGCTTTTCCTATTGCAAGTGTCCTGCAAAATGAAAATACTTATTGTAACCATCCACAATAAACAACATCGCAATAGGGATTCTGAATGTTTTCTTGATACCTTATATAGCATGTAAGGTGTTCCAGTTTCGATCTGAGACTTCAGAACTTCAAACCAGAGGTTCTGAGCTTGAACAACCTTCTTGGCCTTACCCTGGAAATCATAACAGATATATTGAGTGCAAACTCAAATCTTATTAGATCCAATTTTGAAAATCAGAGAGAAGGTTTACCTCTCTCTCATATTTTGTGTACAACTTATTAAACTCCTCGCCCCAGCAATCAGCCAATCCCGGAGCTTCATTAGGGCAAAACAATGACCACTCTCCATTATTTTGGACTCTCTCCATAAAGAGGTCGGGAATCCAGAGGGCATAAAAGAGATCGCGTGCTCTGTGTTCTTCCTGTAAAATGGCCATATTTATTTTCATTGCAAAGATAAATTAAAAAAAAGAATTTCTTTTATATAAACACATTTAAGACAAGGGCTAAAATAGCACATGGTAGCTTAGCATGGGAAACAAGTTCCACCAATACTGGAAATACATTGCGTAAAGGATAATACTATATTATATACAATTTTAACATGCGAGAGGCTAAGAATCATATGCTTGACATCAAATATCTATATAAGCTCAAGTTAAGCAATGGTCATTTTCTCAGGAAGGCATCTGCTTATCTTAGGCAGTGTATTTATTACATCACCAAACTGACAGTGCATGTATCTGTAAATGAGCAAATACATTGCGTGAAAGTGAAAATCTTGAAGAATAATGCATCTTTTAATCGTATTCTTTTTAGATTAACATGCACTGTGTTCAAATATGAGTAATTGACCATTAACAAGTTATTGGATACTACAGTGGATTAGAATCAGATAGATTCATCAAACAATAAAAATAAGCAAAAGCTATAATAATAAGTGCATCTGCATAATGCATGTGCCCTGTTGCGGTGTGAATACCTTCCCATGGTTTTTCCTGAGGTCAAGAAACTCAAATATATCCGCATGCCAAGGCTCCAAATACACCGCAAATGCACCTAAATGCAACAAAAGTAACAAATTTTCAACGAACTACTTAATGAATGGACTAAATAAAATCAGCAAATCAGTTGGTCATGTCAAAATTACCCTTCCTCTTGCCTCCCCCTTGATCAACATAGCGAGCAGTGTCATTAAACACCCTTAACATTGGGACAATACCATTAGAAGTTCCGTTTGTTCCACGAATATAACTGCCCATTGCACGAATATTGTGAACAGAAACACCAATTCCTCCAGCAGATTTGCTTATAACAGCACACTCCTTGAGAGTGTCATATATGCCCTCGATACTATCATCTTTCATACAAATAAGGAAGCAGCTGCTTAACTGGCAACATACAATTCCACTTGAATCAGAGGATTAATTTCAAACTACCTTCAACTCATAAAAAAATATAAGGAAAAAGAACAATACCTGAGGACGAGGAGTGCCAGCATTAAATAAGGTAGGAGAAGCATGTGTAAACCACCGCTGTGACATTAGATGGTATGTTTTGACAGCAGAATCAATATCTTCCTTGTGAATTCCAACAGCAACTCTCATCAGCATGTGTTGAGGTCTTTCTACAACCTTTTCAGAGACTTTTAAGAGATAGGATCTCTCAAGAGTTTTGAAACCAAAGTAGTCATAATCAAAGTCTCTATCATAAATTATCTCACTGTCCAAATAAGCTGCATTCTGCAACAAATAAAATTGAAAATAGTTAAAAAAATATTAACATAATAACTAATCAAATTATAACAACATTAAATCAATCGCGCATGATTTGAGATCATTTTTGTTATCTAGCATGTCCCAGATGGGTACGAAACACCACTACAGTCTTAACTGCCTAAAGCTAATTTATTAGAAACTTATAAAGATGGGTAAAATCCAAAGCATTGTTCCATCAAAATGAGTAAGAATTGCAGTTAATGTGTAAGAATGAGACAACTTGATCGGTGAAGTATAGTATTTTGATCAATATAAAAGATCAATTATCACGACCTAAATTGAGAAGTTATGTCAGAATATAGAATAACCATGTCAACAAATAATCTACTTAAAAGGAACCTTAACTTCGAGCTATTATTGCAAAAAGATAACATAAGAATACTGGGAGGAAATTTAAGTTTTTTAAGGGGCATTACTTTCATGATTATCTCATAAACATCATCGGCAACCAAAGGCGCTGAGAGCCCCGATCTCTCGTTGAAATGATGATACATCAACTTAATCCTGAAAACCCAATTTTAATAACCAAATTAAGTTAAATTATCAATAAAAAAACATGTATCATGATAAACAAGCAAAACGAGAAAAACAATCCTTACGTCTCAGAGAACGACTTCATCGTGTTCTTATGCAGATTCGAGACCGCAATCCTCGCAGCAAGCTGTCAAAATCCGATTTTTAACAATCCAATTAATCAAAACCCGAGATTCAATGAATCAAAATCGAGCCTCAAAAAATCCAAGATCGACAATTACCGAAGCATAATCCGGGTGGTTAGCAGTCATGCCGCCGTCTCGGCCGCAAGCTCGTCGAGCTGACTCGTGGTGACGCCCTTGTAAACCCCGGCGCAGACTTTTTGCGCGACGAGCACAGGATCGCAGTGCTCGTGGCTCAATCCATAGCTCAACTTCTTCAATCTCGCCGTGATCTTGTCGAAGTGGACGGGCTCGTGCCTGCCGTCTCTCTTGACTACGTACATGACTGAAACCTAGGGCTCCGATTTGGGTGAGGAATTTCGTCGAATGGGTTGTGAGCGATGAGAGGAGATTGGGGGTGGGGGGTGTTTAAATGGAGGATAAGGGTATCTAGGGCTTTGAAAGGTTGGTGGCTTCTTGGGGAAGATTTTAGGGTTTTGAAATGTTGGCGGCAACTGGAGGAGCGGGACGCACTGAAATTTGTGGGGGGAGACTGGAGAGTGGAGGGAGAAGGGGAATCCGCTTGAAATTTTGCCGCGCTTTTTTTTCGAGGAGAGAGGATGACTTTATTTATTTCGCCCCGCATCTTTCATACTTTGAACTTAGCCCAACAAATATTCGTGTTTATCATTAGTCCCTCCGAATCTTTTTAAGTGTTCTTAAATTAGTCTCCCTAAGGCTAAATAGCACTAGGCTGAAATATTGAGGGACTAATTTCGAGATACATAACATACTAATTTCAAAATATGAAGACTTGCGGGGCCAATTCAACACACTTGAAGATTTCAGGGACTAGGCGAAAATATGGAAGATGCGGTCGGTTTCGTATTATGCGTTCGATTATAGTTCGGAGATTTTGGGCTCCGCTTTGGGCTTGTAGTTAAAGACGGCATAACCCCTATCATTGTAATGTATTAATCCATCAATCAACGGGGTAATGTCAAGTTATAGCTTGGTATAATCGAATACGTACTTATCGTGAAAGTAATGGGTGTGTGGATGTTCAAATATAATCAGGGTAAGTTTAATATAGAATTAGGGATGTTTAACAATATATTCAATAAATATAAGGGTTGAAATATTTGGACATTTCTAAGTAAGATTCTCAAGTTTTAATAACATTGAAGTATTAAGGTGCTGACTCTTCAGGCTATACAAGTGGTGTCAAAATAAGCGAGGTTATACAAGCTCGAAGGTAATTCAATACTAATTAACCACGTTATAGTTTTGGGTTTCGTACCCTGTAATTAAAACGACGGATCAAGTCCAATTTAGCATAACATGAACCGCGTCAACATAACTATTCGTCAGTTAATTATCTGATATGACTCTCACAATCATAGTTTCAATTTCGTGCCGCGTTTAAAAAAAATATTATCAATTGGGTAATGTCGTGACTATCAATTGGTGTACATCCCACATATTATGGTGAAAGTAATGGGTTAACAGATATTTTTGGTCTGGTATGGAGATTACAGAGAAGAATTGTGTGATGTTCTGATTTTCTGCTACAGATTTTAAAGTTTGTGCTCTTGAAACATTTTCTTTTGTCGATAAGGAAATAAATGGACGAGTGGAACGACATGGCTAGAAAGAAAATGTTGTTGCCTCTTTTGATCAATTGTTGAAATATAGTTTAAGGGTTTTACATATTGGCCCCTCGCATCTTTTATTTTCAAATTGGTCTCCCAAATCATCGAAATGGTCATTTAGTCCCAAATCCTTCGATCGTCCATGATAGTGTGGATTAAGAGCAGCAGTCCTTAAAACCTGACCTTTTGACTCGGATTTTCGGTTATGCCCTTCTTTACATATGAACACAGATTCATACCCTCTTCTCCTTCGATCGTTTCTCTTTTCTCAAATTTCATTTTCCATGAAGAAGTAGATGAGATATTGTTACTATAAAAGATAATTAATGAATTAGAGTTAAACACGACAACAATCTGCCTTGTTGGGTTAATGACTGAAAGTAATCATAGCAAAAGCAAAAAAACTAACAAAATATAGATTAATTTGGAGCAACACACACGAACCTTTTTTTTGTGGTGGTGATGTGGCGTGGGGTGGGGTGGGGGGGGAGTGGGTGGACCAGACAGCAATCGTAATGATTTGTGGGCTAACGTGAAAATAATTAATGTGTGAGGGACCAATATATTAAACGCCGTCCCTTTTTAAATCTTTGCAATCATTGCTTCCACGTGCCCACTTGGGCATTTTGAAACTAGGTTGATTTTTTTTATGTCCAATCACCAGTAGATAACGATCTTACATGCTACCATCTTGCTTTCATAAAAATTCCGAAACATGTCGTGCGCGTATACGCGGTACCAGAAAATTCCTTGGGGCATGTTTGAGTCGGCCCGAGGTTTCATTATTTTAGCAAAATGCGTACTCCGAAATCAACAAAACAGGGGCGCACAGTGCATTTCAACAGCAATCGGGTGCATGATTAGACCGGCATCGTGACTTGAATACAAATAATCCCCTCGGAACGAGCGGTTGTCAACCTTCAACCGGCTCGGTGAAATGTCTGTTTTGATCCCTACTTTGCACGTCCAAGGTTGGGAACCGCCCCGCTCGCATGCGGTTCGTTTTGAAAGGATACATACTGTCAAGGGTCTACTCCGTGTTTGATTAGATCGAACCCTCGGTTATCTAAATATCCTCGGTTATCTTGTTATTCATTTTGGATTGTTTGATAAGACTTGGATTCAGGCCCGGCCCCGAGGTTTGGGTTGCCCTAACCCAATCCAATTTTGGTTGCCTCTTATATTAAAATTTTGGTACGAATAATAACGATAAAAATAAATACATATAATACCCTTTAGCGTTCTATATTGGGTTCAAACTGATAATATTCTCTTGCAAAATCAATATTTCTATAAGAAAAAATTATATTTGTGCTACAATTTAATTCAAGGAAAAACACTTCTCCTTGAATTTTTTGAAGCGAATTCTTCAATTAAGTCATCATACTCGAGTTTCTCAAAGTATTCATTTTTAATTGATATCATTGTCAATCCATTTAATCAATCCTGTGACATGGTAATGCGAAGATAACATATATGAAATCACAACAATCAACTAAACTGATGCCGGAACGAAGACTTAGTAATATCATTATTATTAAAACAATCAAACAATTAATCTAGATAGCAATCCAATAATATGAATGTCATCAAATCAAAGTTAAATTGAGATTATAATTAAAACCAAATAGAGATATATCAGATTATCGTCCATTAGGATTTTCGAGTTTTAGATGACTAGAAGGGAGATGAACTTTTTAACAAGTAAACATTATTTTCTCTTTCTATCTTTCAACTTTGATAAGCTTCTTTTAAACTTATGGAGACCGTGAGAAACTAGTCAGAAGGCATAACTGTGCCACCCAAATAACTAAATCAAATCTAATTTCCAGTTTCAAAACAAAAACTACACGAAACCGCCCAAACATCATAACTCCTAATTCAACAACTAATATTCAGCCAAGATTCAAAATCAGAAATCTTAATTTCATTGCAAAACATCAAAACCCCAAATTTCCGTCCAAAAAACCCTAAAATTATTTATTTAAAAAAATATCTGATTGTGTTTCTTTGGTGGACCGATCGGTCGTCGACGTTGATAAGTCGATTCAGATTCTCTCCGTCTTTTGGGTGACTGGATCGGACCGTCGGAGGAGGAGTCAGCGGGGTGGTCCGAAGGATGGGAGCAGAGACGGGAAGGAGGAGTTGGATGCTGACGGAACAGAGACAACGAAACAGAGCGGTGTCTCCGTCGATTCAGATTCTCTCTGTTTTTTTTGTGAGCGGCAGAATAGAGACGAGAATGAGGAGAAGAGGCTGACGGAAATACAGGAGGAGTTGGGTAGGGCTTTGAGTATTAATAAGAGTTTTTTACTAATAGAACCCCTAACATTTTTTGCATAAAAGCCCTCTTACAAAGTCCACTTCGAAAATTATTACGGTTTGAGGGGTGAAGGATGTAATCGAGATGGTTGCCCCCCCGGTCCTGGGTTGCCCCAGCCCCGGGGCTTGGTGGGCTTATCCCAGGGCCGGCCCTGTTTGGATTATTGGACTATTGTTCAAAAACTCTACATTCTAAGATTTGTGTTAGGACTAGAATATTTTGGTTGGAGTCTTGGAGCTTTTTCAAAGGATTTTAAATCTTTTGAATGAAATTTGGGGCCAAGTGTTAAACAGCCATTAACAAACATAATTTTAAATATTAAAGCTCCAAATGATTAAATAGTATAACATATTAAAAAGGATATTTAATTTTTAAATTATTAAATATACTAAAAGTATTTGAAAATAAATTTATTTAATATGATATATGCTAAATAACTAAAAGTAATTATTAAATATACTAAACTAATTATTAAATTTGTTATGTGTGATCTATATTTAAAATTTTAATAAAAATTAGATAAATTGAATATATTAAATGTTTTTTAAAATAACTATGACAGTAATGAAATGTAATTCCAATTTATCATTCATGCTTACCAAATATAATGTGTTTTTGAATTGCTACAAATGCCATTCTCACTTTCCATCACTTTCTCCTTGATGTGGGAATTGCTATTTTCAACGAGTTACAAAGGAATTGATTTTTTCCACTTAAATGATAATAAAAATAATAAAACATGTTCCGAATATATCATTCTTAAATATATTCCCACGTAGTTCTCTAATCACACTCAAACATAATAATAAGAATGAGTACTGTTGGATTTAAATCTAATTAAATCTATTTGTGGGCACATATGATTAATCAATGTGTATTACTATCTTTAAGGATAACCCACTTAAAGTGATCAATCAATTTGGGTTAATAGGTATTTAAATAAATCATGGGGGTTATATGTGCAGATATCAGGTTGTAATTATAATTTGATGAGGGGCCAAATTACAAATGTACAATACCTATATATAAGGGGTTATGGTCCTTAATCTAGGGTTAACCACTCTCATTCTCTTATCTCCATCTAAAGAGATCCATAAGAGAGAAACCCTAAGGTTAGAAGATCATCAAAACCCTAATCAAGTTTTCTTCAATGGATTCAGGTATATGCTTCCGCACCTTTTGATTCTTGTTAATCTCTTTGAATTCAATCATGGCTTTATGGTTTTAGATCTCAAGTTTTTATTAGATCTAACAAGTGGTATCAGAGCCACCATTGATTTGTTCTAAGAGATTAAGATTAAAATTAGGGTTCTTTGATCTTAATTTGTTTTTGATTCGGATCCGTTCATGGATGAACAGTAAAGTTTCTTATTTTCGGATGAACAGTAACCGTTTTATTTTTTTGATGAACAGCATTTTTTTATTTTCGGGTAAACAGTGAAAAATATTTTTCCGGATGAACAGTGGAGATTTTTTATTTTCGGATGAATAGTAAAATTCTCATGTTGTTTGGTTTTTCTTTCGATTTTTGGATCTGTAAAATTCTCATGTTGTTTGGTTTTTCTTTCGATTTTTGGATCTGTAGCATTTATGAACTCTAAAGTTCATTCCTTTTGTGTTTGATTCAATGAACTCTAAAGTTCATTCCTTTTGTGTTTGATTCAATTTTTGAGGTTTGGATCTAAATGATTTGAGTTAAAAAAAAAAAAACTCCTCGTCGGAGTTGATTCAGCGGCAGCGGTTTCAGATTAAACCCTCAAGGGGTTCGTGCGCGTGAAAACGTGCGGAAATTAAGGAGGTGGTTACCTCAATTTTTGGCGAGGCTTGAAAGCTTCAAACGAACCTTGAGCTCGTTCTCAAACGAACCCTGAGCTCGTTCTCAAACGAACCCTGAGCTCGTTCTCAAACGAACCCACGTTCGTTCTCTAATGAAACATGCGTTCGTCGAACGTTGCGTTCGTCGAACGTTGCGTTCGTTGAACGTTGCGTTCATTCTCAGGTCGAACATCACGTTGTGCTTCAGTCGAACCTCGCGTTCGTGCTTCAGTCGAACCTCGCGTTCGTACTTAAGTTGAACATTGCGTTCATTTTTTTTAACGAACCTCGCGTTCGTTCCCAAGTTGAACCTCGCGTTCTTTTATCAAACAACCGACCCTCGCGTTCGTTCTCAACCGAACCTCGCGTTCGTGCTTAAGTGAGTCTCGTACTCAATACAGTCAAACCTCGCGTTCGAAGTCAAGCGAACTTCGTGTTCACTATGGTTAAGCTTCAGCTTTTCATGGGTCTACTTTGGTATAGTTAATTTATTCAATTAAGTTATGGGCCCTAATTAAGCTGTGAGACCCCAATTAAGTTTTTTGGAAATTCAGTTGATTTAAATTAAAACTTTTAATTAAAATCTAATTTGGTTTTTAATCAATTATTTAATTCAAATATTATGACACTAAGGAATTAATGTTGTCTCTCACTCCAATTGATTAATTGAAACAAGAAGTTGCCAAAGTAACCTCTCTTGTGTAGATTGTTCATGAGGAATGTGAGATGTTTGTGCGTATGCTTTCGTGTAAATATTTAATCGGCCCAAAGGAAGGTTAATATTTATTTAGACTGTATACACATCTGCGATGATAAGCGTGTGACAATTATATGGTTTACATGTGAATAATGAATCGATCCAAAGATAGTTTCATTATTTGACATGAGTTATTGTCAATGTTTGATCATTGCAACAAGGTATCACTTACAAGTTAATATTACTGTCCAAACACTTGATATTAATGTTGTGCCCGATATCTTAGATGGGGATTGTCATTATTTGAATTTTATTGATTATGGTTATTGATGTGAGCATTTTTGTTTTATTTCAGCTAATGCATCTGCTGCAACAATTTCTGCTAACATCAACTCAATTCCCATGCTCAATGGGACTAATTTCAAGGTTTGGAAAGAGAACATTTTAATTGTTCTTGGCTGCATGGATTTAGACTTTGCATTAAGAACTGAACAACCTCAACCTCTTAATGCGGATAGCACTCCTGATGCAAAGAAGAAGTATGAGAAATGAGAGCGTTCAAATCGCATGAGTCTAATGATCATTAAGCGCGGCATTCCGGAAGCCTTCAGGGGCATAGAATCCGAAGGGATTACTAAAGCTAAAGATTTCCTTGCCGGAATTGAAAAACGTTTTGCGAAAAACGATAAGGTAGAAACAAGCATACTTTTAGCTCGCTTGATTTCAATGAAGTATAAGGGCAAAGGAAATATCAGGGAGTACATTATGGAAATGTCTCATATTGCTTCAAAGCTTAAGGTACTTAAACTCGATCTTTGTGATGAGTTATTGGTACATCTGGTTCTGTTGTCTCTTCCTGCACAATTCAATCAGTTTAAGGTCAGTTATAACTGTCAAAAGGAGAAATGGAATCTAAATGAGCTCATTTCATACTGTGTGCAAGAAGAAGACATGTTGAAGCAAGATAAGACTGAAAGTGCTCATTTGGCCTATGCCTCTAAGGATAAGGGCAAGAAAAGAAAGAATGATAATGAAGCTGCTAAGGGTCCTGTTCAGAAGAAACAACATAAGGATGGTCAGGATTTGTTTCTTCTGTAACAAGTCTGGACACGTAAAGAAGGATTGTACCAAATAGCACGCCTGGCGTGCTAAGAAGGGGCTGCCTGAGCTACCGGAAGCCAAGTGATGGTGAAAGATACATCTTTGTGGGCGATGATCAGTCAGTAGATGTGGAAGCAATTGGGCACTTTAGGTTGCTGTTATGAACTGGTTCATATTTGGATTTAAAAGATACTTTTGTAGTACCGTCTTTTAGACGGAATTTGATTTCAGTTTCTGTATTGGACAAATCAGGTTACTCTTGTTCATTTGGAAACAATCAATTTAATTTATCTTTTAATTCAATTATTATAGGTACTGGTTACTTGAGTACTTGTGACAACCTATGTTTGCTTGATACAACTGCTTCTTATAATGAATCCTTGCATGTGGAATCACGTGGTACTAAATGTAAATTAAATAAGAAGTATGATCTCTTATTCTTCTTTACCAAAGTCTCTCTGGGGAGAAGCACTAAAGACAGCAGCTTACATTCTGAATAGAGTACCAAGTAAAGCAGTTGCTAAAACACCTTATGAGCTTTGGACTGGTCGAAAGCCCAGTTTAAAGCATTTACATATTTGGGGATGTCCAGCTGAGGCAAGGTCTTATAGGCCAAATAAAAAGAAATTGGACTCCAAAACATTTAACAGCTACTTTATTGGGTACTCTGAACGCTCTAGGGGCTATAAGTTTTATGATCCCACACTAAGGAATATTTTTAAGACGGGAACAACAACATTCTTTGAGGATGTTGAGTTTTTTGGGAGAAATAAGGTTAGAAACATTAGTTTTGAGGAGGAATTGGCTTCAGATCCAATCCATACAGTTACTTTTGACAATATTCAGGTTCCTATACCTGTTATTGTCAAAAGTAACTGTATGGATTGGATCTGAAGCCAATTCCTCCTCAAAACTAATGTTTCTAACCAAATATAATGTGTTTTTGAATTGCTACAAATGCCATTCTCACTTTCCATCACTTTCTCCTTGATGTGGGAATTGCTATTTTCAACGAGTTACAAAGGAATTGATTTTTTCCACTTAAATGATAATAAAAATAATAAAGCATGTTCCGAATATATCATTCTTAAATATATTCCCACGTAATTCTCTAATCGCACTCAAACATAATAATAAGAATGAGTACTCCATTTCCACATCAAATCCATTTCATTCCTAACTTCATCTTCATTCTCACTTGACTCAATTTCCGCATACCAAATGTGGCATAAAATGTTTTGAAAATATTAGATATTGGTGTGTTTATTTGTTAATACCGGAGCTCATCAAACGAAGGGGGGCGGGGGGGGGGGGGGGGAAAATCCAATAGAGGTGAGATCACAGTCCATTATTTTTTACGTGGACTTTTTTTCTTGGAAATATCTTCACTAAAATGTATAAGTAGTATTTGGATTTGGATTTGAACATCTTAGCCCTGATCATAAACCTAAATAACCAATAAGATCATAAAGCTAAATCCAAATCCATACTCCTAAACCAATAAGACCTTAAAGTTGAAATTCAAGGCATAATCATAAATATATAACAACTTAAAGTTAAATCCTAAAAGAAGTATTAGTCCCATTTAAAAGTCCTCAACTAATACCCCCCCTTAGATTAAAATTAGACCTGAGTTTAAGATTGGACCATTCCTTGATTCCTCTAACCAGGTTATGATAAATCATAATATGCTCTTGACCTGATTACTGACCTAGCATGACGTGGTTAAGTTTTGATAAGGTTATTTGTTATTCTAGTTATGTCAAATTGCCCTATAATAATTCTATTTGAACACCCCTACAGAAAGAGCTGATCTATACCATTCATGGTAGTTAGAGGGTTAGTTTGAGAATTATAATACTCTTCTATGGTATAGATCCCCATACTCTTATAGGGGTGGTTTTGATAGAATCTGTATTAATACTACTTTTTTTTTTATATTTTTTCAATAACCTAGCCTGAAAAAGCGAACTAAAACTCCATTAATTTTATATTGAAATCTTTCAACCGGCCGGATTAGCGGGGATGAGTATCCTGGTACTATCTTAACACGATATATATATAGTGAATATTTTCTAGAATTTATTATTATTTTTTAAGATGCAATGCTAAGAAATATCCAAAACATAGAAGTATAGCTCATTCATCACCGGAACCAGATGTCAACAAACTAAGTAAGAGAAGTACCATACCGATGATCTTGAGGACACACCGGATCCTGCGCTCCCCAATCCTAACGGTTCCTTCTGTGGGGCCCACCAACCGGATACCATACCCTCACCGTCCACCCCAGTCGAACCATCACTGTCGACTCGTCGCCTCAACATCCCCAATTCCTCAAAAAACCCTAAAAATAAACCTAGAAAGAATAAAACCGTCGACGGAGAATTCAGCGGCGATGACAGATTCAAATGGATCGATCGACGGCGAAGCTATCGGGCGCCCGACGAACCCGATGGTGAGTCCGCTGCTCACCGACCTCTATCAGTTCACCATGGCCTACGCTTACTGGAAAGCTGGCAAGCATCAAGAACGAGCCGTGTAAGTTTCCCAAGCTCCCTTCGCACCTTTTCTTTAGTTCGTTGATTTTCTTGGCGTAAATTAGGTGAATTTGTTATTCAAGACCGTAAATTTGGCCACGATATTGGACATGAGGTAGCTCGTCACCTGGGTAATGCGCAGGAACTTGAGAGAGATGGTCTGGTGGCGGTGGGTTTGAGACAGAGAGGAGGGGGAGAGAAGGGGAAGCGGAATATTAATGGGATAATTTATGAATTGCGATAGAAAGGATGCTGAGGTGGTCATGCAAAGCTGAAAAGTCAGGTTTAATGCACGGGAATTAGAGAGATGATTGAGTGGTTGTGGGTTTGGGAAAGAGGGAAGAGAACAGGGAAGGCGAAGCGAGACACTAACAAATCTGTAATGCATGTAGTTTGGCAATAGCTATAAAGTAGTTTATTACATGGGTAATGCACAGGGATTAGAGAGATGATGTTGTGGGTTTGGGAAAGGGAGAAGAGAAGAGAAGAGAAGAGAAGAGGGAAGGTGAAGTGACATATTAACAAAGTATAAGGTTGACCCGAACCCGACCCACTTACTAAATGGGTTAAGATACCTGACCCATTTATCAAATGGTTTATTAAATTAACGAATGAACGGTTTATACCATCCCTAACATTGCAATCAATAATCAACCAAATACCCCCCTGTTGTGCGCGGCGGAAGCTTTCTAGGACAGCACGAACAATAACTCGAACTAAACCACAAACAATATGCAAACCACAATCACAGCAAGAACACACAATTTACGTGGTTCGACAAGTTGCCTACGTCCACGGGGCAAGGAGGAGGGGAGTTCTTTCTACTAGAAATCAAGAGAATACAAATAGGGTTACAAATCTCTCAGACCAAACCCTAAAACAAAGCTCTAGATCTCTCAAAGCTCTCTCACAATTGGATGCAATGATTCTCTCTCTTTGGCTGCTCAAATTCGTCCAACCCTCTACCCTAAACAAACAGGTTTAGGTATATATAGAACTTACAAAACGAACCGGGTCGAAAACCTGAAAGCCCAACCCAAAACAGCGTCGGTCGACCGACACGGTCGACCGCGATCGGTCGACCGGGCCGGTCGACCGACCACCTTTCAGTCGCACAGTAAGCTTTGTGCACGAATGCGGTCGACCGGACCGGTCGACCGCCGCCTGGTTTGCCTGATTCTTCTGAATTTCTGTAATTTCTTCAATTCTTCACCTCGGCGAATGTTTCCACCAAAACTGAGCCGATACCAAAACATCCAATAGTTCCTCAACAAGTCCAGGAACAATACTCGAGCTAGAACACGATCTCCCCCCCATCTGAAACAACTGATCAAACCGGCTGCATCTGAAAGACTGCCTACGTATCCTCTTGCCCAAGGAATCAAACCGAATGTAGTTCACCCAAATGGCCGCCAACGGCCTCAGCACTGAAGGATGTTCAACAACTTCAAACAATGACCAAATTTTACTCCTGAAACAACTTTGGTCAACATATCTGCAGGGTTGTCATTTGTGTGGACCTTCTCCAATATGACATCTCCATCATCCAAGACGTCCCGTACAAAGTGGAATCTGACGTCGATGTGTTTCGTGCGAGCATGATAAACCTGGTTCTTTGCCAAATAGATAGCCGACATACTATCACAATATATCCGAATAGTCTCCTGAGCAATCCCCAAGTCCTCCAATAATCCACGCAACCATAAAGCCTCCTTAATAGCTTCAGTAACTGCCATATACTCTGCCTCTGTAGTAGAGAGAGCCACTGTGGACTGAAGCGTGCAACGCCAACATACAGGTGCACCTGCCAATGTAAAAGCATAACCTGACGTAGACCGACGTTTGTCAAGATCTCCAGTATAGTCTGAATTCACATATCCAATACAAGCCTGCCCATCATTCTCATCCTTCTGAAATACTAAACCAACCTCCACGGTGCCTCGAACATACCGTAGAATCCACTTCACGGCCTCCCAGTGACCCTTCCCGGGGTCGTGCATGTATCTCGATACCATACTCACGACCTGTGACAAATCTGGCCTTGTACACACCATCGCATACATCAAGCTACCTACTGCACTAGCATATGGGATCTTCGACATATAATCTCTGTCCTCAACTGAAACAGGTGACATCAACGCTGAAAGCTTGAAGTGGGGAGCCAATGGTGTGCTAACTGCTTTTGCATTGCCATCAAAGCTGAATTTCTTCAACATCTTCTGCAAGTAGCTCTTCTGTGTAAGCTTCAATTTCCCCTTCACCCTGTCTCGCTCGATCTCCATACCCAATATCTTCTTTGCCTCTCCAAGATCCTTCATCTCAAACTCGGATGATAACTCCTCTTTCAGCTTTTGAATAGCTGAAGAATTCCTGGAAGCAATAAGCATATCATCAACATATAAAAGCAAATATATGAGCTCACTATCCTGTAGCTTGTACATATAAACACATGGGTCATATGAGCTCCTCGTGTACCCTTGGCCAATCATAAAGCCGTCGAATCTCTTATACCACTGTCTTGGTGACTGCTTCAAACCATAAAGAGACTTCTTGAGCTTACAAACCAAATTTTCTTTTCCTGCAGCTTTAAAACCCTGTGGTTGTGTCATGTAGATCTCCTCATCTAAATCACCGTGTAGAAAGGCTGTCTTCACATCCATCTGGACCAAATCCAAATCCAACTGTGCCACCAACGCTAATAAAATCCGAATCGACGAATGCTTCACAACGGGTGAAAATACCTCGTTATAATCAATGCCCTCAAGCTGTGCATATCCCTTGGCAACTAATCTGGTTTTGAACCGAATGTCCCCAATAGAAGATCCCTCCTTCTTCGCATATACCCACTTGCAACCAATAGCTTTCTTACCCTTAGGTAGATGTGCAAGTGTTCAAGTGTCGTTCTTTTGAAGAGACCGCATCTCCTCCTCCATAGCTTCCCTCCACCTGATCGAATCGGGGCTAGACTCTGCCTCCCTGAATGTGGCTGGAACCATATCATCAACGACCTCCACTGATAATGCATATGCGACCATGACATCATTATACTTAGCTGGCCGACGAATCTCTCTCCTCGGTCTATCTGCTGCAATGGTCCTTTGAACATGATCATGTTCCTGAGTCCCATGATCCACTGTATCTTCTATCTGCCCAACTATCACCTCATCTCCTCCCAGTGTCACCTCTGTAGGAGCCTCAATGGATACAGCGTTCTCTGGAGTGGGTGGAGTCACATCAACCTCCACTTGCTGTGATATCTCTCCTGTCTGGTCTCCCTCCACTTGCTGAGGGGCTCGAGGCCTCATCATGTACGTCTCGTCAAATGTGACATCTCTGCTAATAACTATCTTCTTGTCCTGTGGATCCCATAATTTGAAGCCTTTGACTCCATCTCTAAATCCCACAAAGACTGCTTTCCTCGCTCTCGGATTTAATTTACCATCACTGACATGATAATAAGCTGGACACCCGAATATCCGAAGCGACTCATAGTCACTAGCCTCCGAACCAAACCAACGCTCCAAAGGAGTCTTCCCGTCTATCGCAGTGCACGGCAACCTGTTCACAAGATGGCTCGCATAAACCAACGCCTCGGCCCAAAAAGATCTAGGCAATCCACTCTGCGTCATCATACACCGCACCTTCTCCAGCAAGGTACGGTTCAATCTCTCAGCCACCCCGTTCTGTTGCGGTGTCTCTCGAACTGTGAAGTGTCTTCTAATGCCGTGATCCCGGCAAAACTGCAGAAACGGATCACTCTTGTACTCTCCACCGTTATCTGAACGTAGAGTCTTCACCTTTCTACCTGTCTGCAGCTCCACTTTCTTTTTCCACTCCACAAAAATATCCAGGACCTGATGTTTATGCTTCATCGGGTATACCCAATTCCTCCTGGAATAATCATCAATGAAAGTGACAAAATAGTTGGCCCCACCAAGAGATGTGTTCTTGGAAGGACCCCAAACGTCCGTGTGAATATAATCCAATGTACCTTGGGTGTTATGAACAGCGGTGCCGAACTTCACTCTAGTCTTCTTCCCAAGTACACAATGCTCACACAATTCCATCTTGCAGGTCTTAGCACCTTTCAATAGCCCCTGTTTAGCCAATGACTGTAGGGACTTATCTCCTGTGTGTCCAAGTCTCATGTGCCATAAGGTGGTAGTGTCCTCCTCTGTAGTGATAGAAGCTGCCAGACCCCCTGTAACTGTCTTGCCCTTCAAGTAGTATAGGTAGTTTTCCCTGACACCTCGCATCACCACCATAGAACCCTTCGTGACCTTCACTGTAGCATCCTCTAAGATCACTCGATATCCTGCTGCCTCCAAAGTCCCAAGAGAAATGATGTTCTTCGTCAACTGCGGCACGAACCTCACTTCCTTCAATTCCCTCACTACACCATCATGCATCCTGATCCGGACTGAACCAATACCACCAATAGGGCATACGTGATCATTACCCATAAGCACGACATCCCCTCTTTCCAGCTCCTCAAAGCTAGAAAACCACTCCCTCTTAGGGCAGATGTGATATGTAGCTCCCGAATCCATCATCCACTCCGTGGAATCCGCATAGCAAACCGACGGTAAAGCAGGGCATGAATAGCCTGAAGAATCTGAATCTGAATGCTCACCAATAGCTTTTGCAACATTCACTTCTGAAGCTTGTACAGCTTTCCCCTTATTCTTTCCGGCTTTTTCTTTCCACTTTGGGCAGTCAATCTTCCAATGTCCTTCTTCTTTACAATACCGACATTGATTTCTACCAACACTCTTATATGCACTCCTATTCTTTGACTTTGATCGGTTAAACTGACGACAGTTTGGATCTCGGCCTCGAACTGCTAACGCATCTCCCGATGCCTTCTCGGAGGGTTCACCATCACTCTTCCTCAACTCATAGTTCACCAAAGCTGAGGTCACCTCCTTGTAGCTAACTGTAGTTCTTCCATTGATCATAGTGAGAACGAACGTACCATAATCATCTTCGGGCAACGAACACAGAAGTAGCATCGCCTTGTCTTCATCCTCAACTATAATATCAACATTGGCCATATCTGAAAGTAGCTTAGTGAAATTGTTGACATGCTCCCTGATGGAAACCCCTCTCTTCATCTTGAACTGGTAAAATCTCTTCTTCAAGTGAAGCCGATTCTCAATGCTCTTCGTAAGATATTTCTCATTGAGTGTTTCCCACATCTTCTTCGCCGACGTCTCGTTCATAACATCATAAATAAGATCCGGCGTCAAGCATGACCTAATAACACCACAAGCTCTACTGTTCATCTTTCTCCAAACCTTATCCTCCAACTCAGCGGGTTTCTCTTTTAACTCAAGAGTCTCCTCCAAATTCTGTGCATCCAAAGCATCCATCACCTGACACCTCCACAATCCAAAATTGATCTTGCCATCGAACTTCGGAACATCAATCTTCGTGTTATTGATGCTCAGACTCTGTATCGCCTTTGTTAGAGACGAACCTGACGTGCTTGCATCTCTCATGTTGTCAATCTAGCTCTGATACCAATAGTTGTGCGCGGCGGAAGCTTTCTAGGGCAACACGAACAATAACTCGAACTAAACCACAAACAATATGCAAACCAAAATCACAGCAAGAACACACAATTTACGTGGTTCGGCAAGTTGCCTACGTCCACGGGGCAATGAGGGGGGGAGTTCTTTCTACTAGAAATCAAGAGAATACAAATAGGGTTACAAATCTCTCAGACCAAACCCTAAAACAAAGCTCTAGATCTCTCAAAGCTCTCTCACAATTGGATGCAATGATTCTCTCTCTTTGGCTGCTCAAATTCGTCCAACCCTCTACCCCAAACAAACAGGTTTAGGTATATATAGAACTTACAAAACGAACCGGGTCAAAAACCTGAAAGCCCAGCCCAAAACAGCGTCGGTCGACCGACACGGTCGACCGCGATCAATTCCGGTCGACCGGTCCGGTCGACCGACCAGCTCCCAGCGGAAAACCCAAAACTGCAGAGAACCCCTCGGTCAACCGCACCGGTCGACCGAAACACCTACGGTCGACTGGCCCGGTCGACCGACCACCTTTCAGTCGCACAGTAAGCTTTGTGCACGAATGCGGTCGACCGGACCGGTCGACCGCCGCCTGGTTTGCCTGATTCTTCTGAGTTTCTGTAATTTCTTCACCCCCCGCCCAAATGGACCCCAAATCAAAATCATCTCACATTCTCACAGAGTGGACCCATCATCACCACGCCAATCAAATATTGACACCCTGAACAAACTCTCACTGCTTGTTGGAGCCAATGGTTGCCCTTCCTATGCCGTTGCGATGAACAAAGTTGTCACTGCTTGCCACAGTGAGGAATTTTGAGGAACTGGGGAGTGGGGAAGTTATCCGTAACTTATCTGGGGATATGGGATATAAATTGGTTAATGGGTTATTCAAGTATTTAGAGTTGATCCACATCTAAGCTGGTTATTAGTTGGGTAATTTGTTCAACCCATATATAACTCATACCCATAAAAAATGAGTTGTAACAATT